GCAATCCAGATCCCCAAAAGGGATCAAATTTGGGCTTAATACATAGATCTTGCTCTGGTGGAGCCATTCCGCCCACAGTGCGTCGCTCCCAGGAGAGCAGCACCAGGGCTGCAGAGCCCTGCCAGAGGAGGAATGAAAAAAACCTCCTCTTTGCCCCCAGAGGGTCAGGTCTCCATCTGAACAGGAAGCTGGGATCAGCCAGGCCCATGCGCTCGCTCTCCAAGTCTCAACTCGTGGGAGGAGAAGGGAGGCTGCTGCTGGTGGCCCCGTCCCTCCCCGGCATGAGCAGTTATGGGCACTTCCAGGGCGCTCTTCCCTTCGGGACCCCCGCTGTTGGGCAGGGTGCTTCCTCATTTCTTTGCAGGATACTTTTATGTTCCATTTAATCATTTAGTAAACAGTGCCAAAGGCCAGGGAGCAGCTAGCTCGAAGGCAGCACGGAGAAAGGGGAGCCACAGTGGCAGAGGGAATAAAGAGGGTCCCCTCCATCACAGGCAGCGAGTAACTGGGAACACAACGGGACACCAGACTTTCCCCCATAAACCAGGGACTGCGTTACAACCACACAAGCCTCAGGGTCAGCAGCTGCTTCACACACCACCCGCAGAACCGCTGCAGCTTGTACTGGGAGATCTCCCATTGCTCGCTTTCCATGCCTAAATAAGCTTTTTCTTCCTCTGGTTTCCCCATGCCAATATTTTGGGATTACTTTACTCCCTGAGGAACACAACTACCCTTTTGCTTTAAGAAGGACACGCATTCCTTGACCTGCAGCCAAATTCAAACCAGCCTCCGGCGCTCAGCCCAGCCAGAGAATGCCCTCGCAATGCCGTGATGCTGTCTTGCTGCTGGGTGCAAGGCCAGTGCAAAACACGGGAAACCAGGAAAGGGCTTTATGTGTAAACTCCCATCAAACGACCCGTCCTGGCATCCTCTTCACAAACAGCGCCCCGCGACAAATAAACAGACATTAAAAGTCTCTCCGGCAGACCTGATCCGCAACCACGTGGCCTTTCGATGGCTTGCATCTCTCCCACCCTACACTAGGTGAAGGAACCCTGAGCACAGGTTTTAAACACATCACTCATCATGAGAAATCATTATTTTACCCTAATTTGTATTCTTCCTGCCATTCAGAGCTTTATCTAGGAATTGTCTAGACTATGCTTACGTTTGTTTATGTTGGTCAATAAAAAACACAGTAGAGTTTATTTAAGCCCTCAAAGCTGTGCCAGTCCTCCCATACTGATGTGGAGTTACGGGATTTTGGGGCTGGAGCTGTGTTCTTTCAAAAGTCTTATCTTGAAAGGCAGCAGAGGAAATGGCTGTTTATGAAAGCTCATGATGGTGTCACAGTTTTTTCTGTCCCAAACCTCATCAGGAAACAGGGTGAGCAAACCTAATGCCATAAAGGACTTCCCAGCTTGTGCACCGGCCACAGTATTAAACACCACCAAGGGCAGCGGGTGGGAAAGCTGCTGAGAAAAGGCCACAAACTATTTATGCGCTGAAAGTCTGAAACAGAAGAGCCCTGAAATCCGTGTCCTTGGGAGACAATACTCCTCTCCTTGGGATACGACATTCCTCTCCTCTGGCGATGAGAAAAGAGAAGATGAGATTATAGCAAGAGTCTGCAGGAGGGGCTGATGGAAGAGCAGGGAAACAGCAGAACCACACGAGCAGGTCTGGTGCTCGCAGGATCCCATGAGGGATCAAGACAGCTCATCTATTACTCAACATCCTTGCGAGCATCCTCAGCTCCTTCCATTTGAGTGTGTTATTTCTAGGAGAGCACCATACTGAGAGGACGGGGCAGGCCCCTTGCTGTGACCCACAGAGCAGGCCAAATTACCTGCACCCATGGCCACAGCACCACGTATGTCAGACCAAGGTGCACTGCCCAACGGGCTGCCTTGTGCATCGGGAGCAGTCAAGCTCCTGACAGTTTAAGCCTGGGAGCAGCGAGCTCGCCGGCTGCGTGGTTTGCTCACCCCCAGCCTGCCCCTGAACACCTTCCAGTTGTGCAGGCGAGAGGCCGGGGAGCAGAGGAAAAGCTCCTCTCCTGGCTGTCGGCCAAGCATTATACAGCGAGAGCACCCCGTATCCTGGCTATGACTATTTTGGGAAGCCAGATGCCTTCGTTACCAGCTGACATCCCCTGACCTACTCACTGTTAAACACGCTCATGGGCCCCAGAGCTCGTTACTCAGCACTTCAATTTGCATATTGCCATTTATCGGGCACTAACCTGCTGGCATATCCAGGCAGTGCCCTAATTTTCACGCAGCTGAAGCGGTTATGCACGCAGCAGAATATAAACGTACCTCTTCCACATGTAGTTTGACGTTATCTCTGAATTTGGGCTGACACAGAGGGAAATCCTCTGAACTGCGCATGTGCTGGCATCCCCACGTCCTGCACCCACTTTCCACCCCATCCCCGCCTCCGCAGCACCCACTCCGGCACAGGACGCGGCACCGTGAGCACGGAGACAGCCCTGCTGCCGCCTGGGCTGCAGCTAACCCCAGCCATGACACACGGGACGCTGGGGAACTCGGGGGGACAGCCAGCGCTGGGAATGCTCCAGATGTGATGGTGTGGCACAATGTCGCAAGGCTGCAGCCACCAAGCCTGGGTTACACAAAATCTCCATGGAGAGAGTGACGGTGAAACCTGCAGCGTTCTGAATAACCAGGAGGACAGGACTTAGATGAGAGAAAGCTGTAAGCGGAGAGGGAGGAGTGGTGCCCCCAGTACCCTCACGCAGAAGGGGAAGGAGCGTCCTCACCACACTCACCCTGATCCGTCGCATGGCCGTCACAATCTCCACCCGGCTATTCGGCCGCGGCACATCCAGGCTCCCAATGTACTAGAGGGAAAGAAAGAGACGATTAGTCGAGTTTCCACAGCACTGGAAACCTCACGGAGCCGCCACAGCCCCGACTGCATCCTTGGAGAGAACATCTCCAGAGGAACAGGCGGCATTTTGCCCACTGTACCTGAAGCCTTGCACACCACGAAGCTGTCCCCAAACCACAGCCTTTCAAGGATTCAACTGCCCTAATCTAACAATAAAATAACGTCTGTAATCAGGTCAGCAGCACTCATTCATCTATGATGTCATCAAAGTACAGAGGTATAAACCAATACCCCCTCGGCTGAACCGAGTCATCTATTATAGACCTGGATATTGGAATATCCCTAAAATAGCTGGGGCAACCTGTCCTGCGACGATCCCTTCACTATTTAATTACAGCCCTGCCAAACCCTTGGCTGTTTTCGCAGCGATGCTGAGCCTCCAGGCCAAGCCTCCAGAATAAAGGAGCCGCGTTGCTATTCAAAGGGGACCAAAGGCAGCACCGCTGCGACCCAGCACGGAGAGATGCCGAACAAAAACCTTTTTAAAAATAAAATGGAAGAGGGCAGATTCAGAAGAAGGATCAGAAAACAGACAAGCGACGAAGAGTCAATGCAAAGCACGAAAAGCGTGTAGTTAGAAGAAAAGCGTTTTGAGTCTATTTACTAGCCCCCTGTGCTCCCACGCTTCATCTCGACACGAGCGCTGACGTAACCCTTGGCAGCGCAGCACGGGCACTAAACCTGGCAGGGCTGTATGTTCCCGTGAATACGGCCGTAACCTTTCGCTGTCACTGTGAAAGAAGCGCAGGTCACTGGTTTCAAGCACCGGCGCCAAGACGGGTGCTTAAATGGTTGGACATGTTCTAGGGGTGATTGTACAGGCAGAGCCCGTGGAGAGGGGTTATTTCTCATCCGGCATCGCAGCGGGACTCCCGGCTCCCCTCCCTTGGGATGCTGCTGCCACCTCTATCGAGGGCACAGTGCAAGGGCTGCATGACCACCCCCGGGTTTTGTGTGTGCATGCCGTCCCAAAGAACCCTCCTTGCTCAGCCTCTGTGCCCCAAACTCAACCCCAAACCCCCCCGGCTCCTGCCCTGGGTGCAGACAAAGGCAGGTGTCCAGCAACCAGCACCGGGCAGTCGGTGCTGCGAGTAGATGTGAAGAGAGAGGATATAAAAATAAACACCAAACAGCTGGCGTGGTCATCCCGTGCTGAGCAGGCTGCCACGGCGCGGGGCAGCTTTACGTAACCGGGAATTAAAGCCCAGGATGCACGCCGCCGGCAGAGGCAGCATTAACTGCCCAGACCCAACCGCTCAATGCCCGACTGCAAAAGCACAGGTCTTGGTTTTCAGCCCCAGCCCCTGAACAAAGCCATCCCACACCAGGTCATATTAAGAGAACACTGGTCACAGAATACAGCCACGTGCAAGGACAGGGCAAGCAGTGGCAGCTGTCACCAGGCAGGAGACAGCCGCCACTGGCTTCCCATGGACTTGAGCAATGCCACCCTCCTGGCTGACCACCACACCCTCGGCCAGCAGTGATGCCCAGTCATGCCCCAGATGGCATGTGCGAGCCCGGCAGGGCTGGGCCACCCCACAAGCAAGTGATGGAGCAGAAACCAGGCACTACATTCAACCAGGCAGCACCCTCTCGGATAGCCCTCCCGGA